GTTCGCCTCGGGCATGAGGTTGCACAAGATCGCCAGCAGCTGCGGCAACATTGATGTGGTGATGCTGGCAGGGACACAGGCGTCACATCGACGAGTGGATGAAGTGCTGTATCGGAAGATTGGTAATAGAGTGGCTCTGGAGGCTGAGGCAGGTATAGGAGAATACACCAACAAGTCCACGGGCTGCGCTACCATATTAGGGCACAAGTTCAAGAAACAGAACATCTGCGCCAGACGTGGGCGAGCCCCACAGGTGCAGCGGTGAGGTCTTTGGCGGCGAGGATACGTCGCGGCCCCCTTGACATGGCGATCTTCGTCATGTACTTCCCTCCTCAGCCTCGACATGCTCGAACGGTACCGCATTATAAGGCGACGGTACACCTCTGAAACAATGGTATGGACGCATTTTGCAGCAGTTACCATGCAGGTGCATACCACTGGTCTACACGGACCTGAATGATGGAATTGGACCCAGCAGAATTTCAAGTCGATGGCAGCAGGTGGAGTCTGCGTCGCTGGGACCAGGAAGAGCACGGGAGCAACGACGCGGGGGGGCTGGCGAAGCGATTCGACAGGTGAACGAGCGCCAGCATATGCTTGTGATGAATTCCCGCAGCACGACTTTGGAACCCACGTACTATGGACACAAAGGGCACAGCAGTTGCATCGATTACCTATTTATGCCTGATGGAATGCTGGACATGGCGCCGAGATTCTCTCCACTTTCCGGACTGGGGGCTGAACTGCAGGCCTTCAAAGGAGTCACGCCGAAGGATCACGTCCCGATCTATATGGAGTTGCATGGCATGCAGGCGTTTATGGCTACGGAGTCATCCTCCTCGTTGGGTAAGATGAGGTGGAACTACGATGACTTGATGAAGTGTTTGAGGACGGGACATCGCACAGTTGAGTTTCTGCAGGCGGTGGAAGCTAGCCTATCGGAGAGTGAGGGCACCTGGAGGGCGCTGCTCAACCGCGGGAGGCCAGACGAAATATTTCTTCATCTTGATGCCACCCTGGTCAGTTCTGGGCAGCGATTGTTTGGACATGAGATATCAAACGATTCTACGTATAGGCAAGAAGCAGCTGAGATATTAGAACTTCTGAAGGAAAGAGCTCGACTTAGGCGGTCCTGAAGTCACATGAATGCAGATTCCACGGAGCTGAACGACTGCGAGCAGAAACTGAAGGACCTCAGCCGGAGGTCACGACGGCAGCGACAGAAATCTGATCGGGAACGGAAAGGAGCTCTCCTGGGCGAGATAGACGAGGCGTGGCAAGCCAGAAGGATGGCGGAAGCAATGCGCCTGTCTAGACAGGCGGCGAAGTGCCGCTTCGGCCCCGAGAGACGTGATGGACGACTTCTGCGAGGCGGCTACTTCACGGAGAAAGAGTTGACTGACTACTGGGGCCTGAAGGGTTGTGAGGGGGGCATGTCGGCGCACAGGACAGATCTTGGCGAATGGCTGGCATCTTCGCCCCCAGAGGCCAATGTATATGTTTCGGAGGAAGACTGCTTGCTGGCGCAGAAAGATCAGTGGATAATTACGAAGTATTTCCGTTCTTCCAGCAAAAGGAAAGTCGTGCCATCAGGAACCCAACCAGCGGAAGTTTGGCTTATGTGCTTGGACCCCTTCGGCGAATGTCGACAACGAGGGCACGGGCGTAGGCTGCCGCCAGGAGGTTCCAGAAATGAAGCTGCTTGGGAAGATACTTGAGGGAGGTCTAAAGCTTTTTCGGGCCACGAATCGTACCCCGCTACGGTGGCATATTAGCTCTGGGGCGCAGCTTCGAAAACAATGCAAAACCTGGCCTTCTGGGCCGAAGGGCGGTCTATGCGCTGCCGGCTATTGGAGAAGCTTTCTATTCAGGCCTCCTCCGGGTACCTCCCATGACTGTGGAACGCGGATTTGGCGTAGGTAGACGTCGGGAAGGTGCGATATCAGTAGCACAGCTCTTCGGGTGGCGCCTCAAAAGGGCAGGATATTCTTTCGCGCTCACGTGCAAGGATATGTCGAACGCTTTCGCTAGTGGTGCGCGGGAGGAACTCGAGCAAACAGTGGGGCTTCATGCTGAGCCTCAGGATGTTGATGTGTGCGTTCAACGTTTTCGACGTAGCGCTGTTTGGTTGGAATATTTGGAAGGAGGGTTGTGCATCAAGACGGGGGAGGGCGGGGCGATGGGGGGCCCTTTCGTCGTGGAACTGTTCAGAGGAACCTTCTCGAGACCGATTTTGCAGTGGCTTCGCCGCTTGCGGGAGTCTGACGCGTCCTCGACGGGCTTGCTGGCCAGCTGGCGGGACCTCAGTGCGAACGTAGGGGGGTGCCTCTATGCCGACGACATGTTTCGAGCTCACGTGGCCACCCCACTCAGCGCAGTGGGGCAATTTTTCGGGCCATAAAGCAGGCTGGTGGGATTGCATCGGAAGAGTTGCAGGAGATCGCTTTTTTTCCCAAAACACTTCCAAGCTGGAGGTCCAGCTTTGGTTTCAGGGGCCAGGGGCCATGCAGCGCAGGCAGTGGGCGAGGGGCAGGGGTCGTAAACAACTTGCAGTGCAGCTTCAGGAAGACGTTCGATACCTGGGACCAAACAAATAATATGCTACTCTCTGCGACGGTGGAGGTCCGCAGGCGAATTCAGGCTACGGCAGATGCGTATTATGCGTTGGGACAGGTGTGGTGCCTAGCACTGCCGCTCCGCTGGAAGCGGGCTTTGTTTCTCGGTTTTGTTCAGAATGCGGCCTTGACGGGCCTGGAGCCAATGCTGCGGACGCCCCGACGTGCTCGTGAGCTCGATTCGCATTCGCTTCTGGCTAGGTACGGGAGGGGGGCTCTCCAGGGCAAGGCGGTCACGAAGGTGGGAGATCGAATTCGCTCGTGGTCAAACAATAGGGTAATGCAGCATTGGCGGCTAGCTAGCTGTGGTACGGAGCTGCTCGCGCGACGCCTCGGATGGCATCGGAGTTGGGCGATCGCCCCAACGAACCATGCACAGGAGCTCTGCTTCTTGTTCGGGGCGGTCAGGATCGACGCGGGTGGAGCTCCGTTGTCAGTTGACGTGGTCCATCCCACGCTTGCGCCGCCGTGGCGTAAGCAGTTGCAAGCTGACTTTCGACGAGCGTCTGAACTACTGGACGAAGGTGAGGTTTGCTCGCACTTCGCGCGTTGCCCTGGCGACATTGTGAACAAAGGGTTTCGGGAGTTCTGGATGAGGGTGGATTTCTCGGAGATGCGTACACGGGAGCTTTCGGTGGTTATTCCCCCTTCGGACTATCTCGAGGAGGGCCCGGGGGGCACCCATGAGGAGCCCCTGGAGTACCCGTGGAAGTGTGATTGGACGGCGGAGGAGGGAGAAGTGCGTGGAAGGGAGTTTCAAACGAAGCGAGACCTTATGAATCATATGCGTCGTATCCATAAAGTACACAAACTGTGCTCGACGGTGGCCCCTACAACCACGTGCATCTTAGTTTGGAGTGGTTTCGCTAGCCAGTCTAACGCCTACAAGCACCCCCAGAGGGCCCTCGTGAGTGGAAAATGTACGACTCGTGTTTCTTCAACGCTCCTGGAATTAATTCCACCAACTACCTCGGAATGTGGGGTCTGTGGTTACTATGCAAGTGAAGTCGCTGATCTTTGTAGCCATCTGGGTTCTCACCACCTGCCGATTGAGGTGGATCCATCTCTGCGTTCATATCTACGTGAATCAGACCCCCGAGCTGCAACTTCACATGGGGTCGCAGGCAGAGGGGTCGCTCCCGAAGCCGATGTGGATGGCGGACCAGTCATTGCCCCCCGCAGCCAAGAAAGGGCGCACCGTGCGCGACGAGGCCAAGGCAGCAAGAAAAGGAGGAAACGCTCTTCACAACCTGGTGGTGATAATCGCCAAGCTCGCCCTGACCGACAGCCGCGCGCTGGCGGAGTTGAGCAGCACGGTCTACCGCACGTTCGACGTCAGCGCAGACAGCGACTTCGCGGCGATGAACGAGACGGCAGGGCAGGACTACAACGAGCGCTCGCAGGAGCTAAAGAAGATGCAAAAATATAGAGAAAACGTGGACCTCAAATCACGCGGACCACCTTTCGTGACGGTGTCCATGACAGTGATGCATTGGGGGGCTACGTTGCATGGCAAGGAGGGAGTGCAGCAGGAGAAGTGGATGCAGCCGCTGAAAGAGTTCTGGACGGAGAAGTTGGCGACGATGACGGTACAGCAGGTGGGGGAGCTGGTGCTTGGGCAGCGCAAGGTTGGCGGAATTAATTCAGAGGGGTGCTGTTTATTCTGAAGTTTTGGGCCCTCGGCCCCCGCCCCTACCCACGGCCTACGGCTCAGGAGTGTCCAATACCCCGGCTATCCAGAGAGAGGGGGGGCCTTCTAGGGCGAAAGGCTCGGGAAAGGGCAGGAAGGGCAAGGGTCGTCGGTAGTTCATAATCTCACTGGTCCCCACCAGCGGCCCCCCTGTAGGCTGCGTGCCGTCCTGGGGGTGCTCGTAGGGGCGGTGCGGCGTCCGTCGTGAGCCACGGGCCGCATCAGACGGTTAGGCGAGTTTCTGATTCGCCCCCCAGAATTCCCCTTGTTGTTGCATAGGTAGGCTGTCGCCTGCAGGTGCCTCGAAGTAGCAGACGAACTCCCACGGGCCCGATCCCGATCCCGATCCTCCTCCTCCTCCTCCTCCTCCTCCTCCTCCTCTTTTTCCTCCTGCCTGTCTCCTCGATTTCCCCACCTGCGCCTCCTCCTCCTTTTCTCCTCAAATGTGCAAGAGCCAGAGCACGCGTGCCACTTGATTCCTTAATGCTCCTGCTCCTACCCCCGCCGTTCCTCCCGATCCTGCTCGTGCTCCCCGTGCTGCTGCTCCTGCTGGTGCTGCTCAGTCTGCTCCTGATGATGCTGCTTCTCATCACGCCTCTTATGGAGTTCGCCCAAGAGGGGGGGAAGGGGAGGAGGAGGAGTAGGAAGAGGAGGAGGAGGACAGGAGGCGAGGGAGACGGAGGTCTCTCCTGTGCGTTCTCTCCCCCCGTTTCCTCTCACCTTGTGCTAGCGGAGCCGCTCCTCCTGCTGCTCCTTCCTCTCCCTCGTCGCCGTTGTCTTCCTCCTCCTGTCCCCCCCCCCCCTCCCCCCTTTCCTCCTGCTCGTCCTGCTGCCCCTCGTCCAGCATCCTGCTGCGCACTGCTGTGCGTCCTGCCACGTGCTCCTCACGCCAAAATGCCCCTCCCAGGCGAGCTCTCGCTCGTGCCCCTGCTGCTGCTGCTGCTGCTGGTCCTCCTCTTG